CCCTTGTTACGCCGTTCATTTCAAGCCACTTTGCTCTTGCTTGGTCGAGAATATCGATAGACTAGTACAATAACTAACACTCGAATGTGGGATAGGGCAATCCTCAGAGGACGTAACCATGGGTGACAGCGACGGCAGTGACGAAGGTAGTGCAGAGCAGGAAACTAAGTTCTCTTTCCTCGCGCTCCCCTTAAACAACAATCCCTGGGTTAACACACTGTATGATGCGTTGGACAGTATCTTTTGGAGTCACGCACTGGGAGATGAGTCGCCGTTACCTGCAGAATCTCATGCCGCCTTCCTTAAAACGGAAGTCGCTGAGATTCTCACGATTCGGATTGATGGCAGCGGCCTCAACAAGCCCTGTGACGTCCCTGCAGTTCTTTATGTTGATCGATACCTGGAGAGCCGCAGAGACCTGGCCATACAAGTTCAGACGGAGATCAACAAAATCCGTCATCTCATGAACCAGGAAATCGGTAAATGGGAGAAAAGCCTCTTGACCTGCAAAGGAGAGGTTGGCTGTCTTACAGAGAAGTGGTTTGGTGGTAAACCGCATAACGCACGCGACTGCTGGCAGAAACTCATCGAGACTAGCGAGTATGTAATCGAACGACAACGAAAGAGCGCAATATGGCGCCATGTCCAAGGACATCTGGACCAGGAAATAGTGCCTTCTATGGAAGACATCTGGCTTCTCCATACATGGTCTGGACCATACGAGCTGGACGAAGAGGAGTATAAGTGGAAAGAGACGCTTGAGCAAGCAATAGAAGTGGCCAAAGAGAGGTTGGAAGACATTGATGAAGGCCAAGAGCGTAAGTCGCGGACCGAGTGTAGTTTAGTGATTCAATTACTCACAGTCTGTGCAGGCATCAAATGGAGAAAGGAGCAATGTGAGCATTGCCTCAATCACTTGTCAAAACGGTTGACGTGTCGAGAGGACGAAGCCAGTACCGAGTTTACGGAAACCTACATTACTCCATCACAACCCGACTTCTACCGGCCCGAATATTGGAACCCAACTCACAACTACTCGCTTCGAGGAGTTGCTACGACAAATGAGATCACCTACGTCTGCACCAGGAGAGAGGCCGACCTCATCGACTTGGACGATCAGTCTGAATCTAGGGAGCAGTGGTGGCGACTTGCTTATGCTGCGCAAGACCATAATCCGGTCTCTGTCATGAAGACCGACCTTGAATCGGTGCTTATAGCCGCTGGAACTGAGTCTAAGAATCCACTCCTGATATATGCAACTGAGAAGGCATTGGAAGCCGCCCCTCTTCCACTATCGGATGCATTACGAGTAAGTCTAGTCTTTCATCAAACCAGACTCCTGTTAGGCTCTCTCCAGGAGCAGAGATGAACCTGACAGCATCCTGGCAAGCATCCCACAAGAGTCTGGCCAGCTTCGAGTCTTTTTCCTTCTGTTGATTCCGTCTCATCTGACCAACGTAAACTCAACAGATGTTCGTACGTGCCGATAACCGCTCATTCCAACATGATCTTGCTCAGGAGCAAACGCAGGCCCAAAGCCAGACAGAGGGTGGAGACAACCGAGGCAATTCGTCAAACGAAGAGGCCACTTCATTGACTACCGAAGCCATCAGATCCGTCTCGTTCGCGTCTCCAGCGAAACGGAAGCTCAGCATCGCATCGTCCAATGCTACGTATAATTCGGGAGGCAGCAGAAATCTGGAGATGGAGTCTTTTGACGGGTCAGACCCGTTTACAGACGAAGACAACGCGCCCAGGGTTTCGCACCAGGAATATATGAGTCCTACTCCTCAATATAATAGGCTAGGCGGCCTCGTTGAATCGCTGGAGAACTGCCGGACGTTCGAAAACGAGTCTCCTGACATGGGTCGACGCGAGCTTCCTGATGCAATTGCATATCAGGGCATGGAGGAGATGCAGACCTTCAATCCGGACGGCATGCCTTCTTCAAAGCCCCTTGAAATGCAGGAGCGCACAGGAGGACCAACGCCGTTCATCACGAGGCCAGGAAATACTGAATCGCGGACGGCCCCTCTTGACCTGATGGATATGGACATCGATTCCGAGCATCACGAGGGCTGATTTGTCTCCTCACTTCAACACCCAAGGACACCGATCAAGGAAGATCACATTGTAGGAATACGTTGCTGTATCAGACTCCATCTTAGGGCCGGAAATTTGGGAACGCTAGGGAAACAGGAGTGCCGAGGCAGTGGATTCGTATCATTTTCAGATAGAAGTTGGGTGTATTACTTCGGAGCTCTGCTTAGCTTCGCGGACTCTCAATCAGGTACGCATATGTTTGGCAGGTACGCATATATCGGCGTTGGGTTGCTTATGCCGTCATGTCCAGGCGTGGACCATCACTGTGTATAGATGATTGATACCCTACACGATAACAGAGTGAGTGCAGAGCACATTGAGATCTGAGGAAATTCCGATGCCCACATACGCGACTGGGATGTGGATTAGATAACTGTACTGCTTTTAAGTTCTGTGAGCTCACCCTTTTATTGTTCTGTTTTATCCAATGTATCGTTTCGAATGGGCATGTGGTGCTTATGGCAGAGTTATGAGAGTTTGCTACAGTGCTGGCCATACTTTTGAAAATCATAGAATCTACTTTTTAGCTCTCTTGGTTACATTCCAGTATGTCGTATATATGCTACTCACTGAAAACGTGGCAAGAAATTGGTGTTTATAGTCGTGCTCCACTGTTCCTTCGTACTGATCAATTGATGCGTATATTGGTATAACTGTCGTCTCAGGATAGCCCACAACGGCAGCCGGGAATACAGGCTGTACCGTGCAGTCAGTCCGATTGTCAGTTTCCCTTCGATCACATGTGTTCAAATCGTCGTAACTGTGAGGACTCGGCAAGATTACAAGCCTTGAGTATATGGGATAGTCTATATGTTATTTCGCTCGATGAAAGCCTGTGTATAGCTTTGTGCCTATGATATGAACTGGGTCTCCTCCGCCTGGACGCCGAGTAGCCCCATATACCCCTCTAAGTACGTGCAATAAGAGTGATGCAGTGAAACTGCTCTATGCTGAGTGAAGAGGGCATGCTAAAGCCATACAGCCCGAAAGCCAGCCAGCCAGCCAGCCTCCCAGCAGTCAATCCAATGGCCTAGCCAACTAGGCCGACCTGCTTAACGCAAGAATCCGTGAACGCCCATGGTCCGACGCTATGCAATGTGTAATGATGTTGAGTAGGAAATTCGTGTCCCTACGTGCCTAGTCGTGAGTGAGGTATGGTTTGTCGTCAAGTCGTTGTTACGAGAAGTCGTCCGGACTTATGACTCTTCGTCATCGCTTGCGTTCTCCTCCTCACCATCCTCGTCGAAGTCGGGCATTTCCTCATCGTCGGATCCGCCGGTATCGGACCCTCCGAAGTCCAACTCCTCGTCGCTCTCGGCCCAGAACTCGGCCTCATCGTCGAACTTTTCGGGAGGAGCCTCGACCAGAGTGGTAGGCATGACGAAGTCATCGGGGATGTCCTTCTTCGACCGCTCGACGATCTCGGCTGCCTTCCTGTCGTATAACTTCCGGTCATCTCGGTATAACACGCCGGCGTCGACATTGGCAGGCGAGCTGATCTCTGGGTCGTCTAGCAGGAGCAGAACGGACCGCAGGACGGACTCGACGCCTTGAAGCGGTGACCACCGCTCGCTTGCGGCCTCGCCGGATGTGAGATCCTCGCCGGGGGTGTGCAGAATCGAGATGCACAACTTGCCGTCGGGGTAGATGTTGGGGTGGTAGATGGGGACTCGGAACCGAAAGGTGGGCGGTGCGTAGGGGTACTCCTCGGTAAAAGTCATATCGGCCTGTATCTATAGTTAGCATGACGTATTCATCAGAGGGAGTTCGCGATGAACTCACCTTGAAGTAGCCGCCGTTGAAGGCACTGTCCGAGTTGACCACAATCAGGCCCATCCTCCAGTGAAAGATGTTGTCGTTGACGAGGTCGATGTTCAGCCACTTCTCCTTCTGCAGCTGGCCCAACTCTTGCATCAAGCGGGTTCTGGCACCAGCGCCCGAGAAAGACTTCTTCGCATGAGTAGAAGACATGGTGGATGTTTTTTTCGGCTTCCGGCGAAGGCAGTGGGATGAGATGATGTTGGTGAGAGAAAATCCACTGGTGATGTTGTTGGTTACGAGTTCACTAATCCGCGTGACTCGGACCTTCAATATCCCCACAAGGGCTTACAGTATACAATATGGTGGTTTGCTTAGGGGATGACAGAAAGGAACAAGTGAGACCTGTTTGTGTCCTTGTAAGGTAGTTAGGCACTTGGGTATGAATGGTCGAAATGAAAATACTCGTATTGTCTTGCACGAGGCGATTGTTCCAATATCCCAATCCTCTCCTTTTGGTCAACTGCCTGAAGGGTTCCTGGACTTTCAAGGCAAGTCAGAAGTCAGAAGACCGAGGTGGGACTTTGGGGGGGGGGGGGTTGAAATGGTGTCACCACATCGAGACCCTGGTAAGGCTCTTTCTTGCCTGGGCCCGTGGCGTTTCCAATGTGGGATCCCAATCCAAACTCCCCAGGGGGCCCAGGCTGCCAGGCTTAGGCATCGGAGAGCCGAACCTTGCCAAAAGTTGGCCCCCGCCTTGAGGTTGAGGTAGAGGTAGAAGGTACCTTGCCAAAAGAAGTTGCTTATTCCCTGACACGCCCTGCAAGGTTGTGCGCGCGCTTGACGAGATCATAAAAATGCATCAATGCTCACCTGCATGCTCAGGCTCAGGCTTAGATTCAGGCTCAGGCATAACATGAAATCATGCCAATGGCCGATTGTCCCTGAACACCCGTTATGTCCCAGGTTTACCACGAGGAAGGAGGCACTTGTTTATTAATCCATAACAGCATATAGTCAGTCGATATGAACCAGAACGACACAACTACCGTTTATGATATAATGACAGGCATAAAAAAGAAAGACGAGAATGAAAACAAACCCGCCAAAAACCCGCCAATAACCCACCAAAACGAAAAAGTTCCGAACGCGGATCGAACGCGTGACCTTAGGATAATAGTTCTTGAAACTGCAATCCCACGCTATACCACTTAGCTACCGAAACGTTTTTTTGCTCGGTTGACGGATGATCAATTAACACAGTATTGTTAGGTAGCTAAGATCACACTGCAGGCGCTTAAAGAAAGGTAAGCTTTCATTTGGGGGTTTGACATCCCGACATTAAGGCTTAAGCATTTAATTTAAAGGTTTTAAAGTTACCTAGTGAACCTCTGACTACTGAATTAGTTACATCGTTCATCCCGAGCCAATGGCCGGGGTTATATGCCCTTGAGATACTGTAGAAATACACATCTAGCGATCGGCGCCAGAGTCACGATGTCGGCGATTCAGCAGCTCGAGGATACGGTAAGAATAAGGCACTCCTAGCTTTGACACATCGGCTCGTACTATATAACAAGAGCTTACCAGGTCCGATGTCCACGTTGAATAACGAACGTCGGCTGTAACGACTACTTTTCATAGCAGCTCCTTGCGTCTTGTGTGATACGATAGGCGCGCGCGCTCGGCAGCCAGTGCCCAACAAGGACTTGATTCTTGGACCGACGCCATCGTAGGCTGGCCTTAGATGTGTTGTAGGCTTGTAGCCTCCAACGACCCCTAATCTCAATGACCGCCATCTCAACGGCTGCATTCCCAATGGCCGCATTCTCAATACCACCAGCAGGTAATCGACTATCTTCCGTACGTGGGATATAGCTGTCAACCCCTCCTGCATTCTTGCAATTATTGAGGACTTGAGTAAAGAACTCGGCTAGATTGCCACGAGGACAAGCAATTTTGTTATGCCCGTGGTGGTCAAATGCACCTTTGTACGGTCTAAAGTCTCTCGCACGGGGATACCAAGTGGGCAGCAGTCTGAAGGGGGGGTGCATCTAATTGAGTCGCTGCTGCTCGACCAGGAATGAAAGCAGACGGGTAGCAGACGGAGACACTTTATATAGTGGATTACTACCGAAATCGGGAACAGGTCGCAAACTGCAGCTTAACCTCGAAGTCAAAGAATAGAGTCACTAACAGATACTATGGCGTGGTTCGCAACACGCAGGATGGTTTTATATGGTTCAATCCCATTGGGGAAGACGAGTTCTGTACTTTGTTCTGATTACTGTTACAGTGGAATACTCGTCGGTGTTGACTTCAAGGCGGCCATTCTGGTAATATCGATTAGACTTGATGTTTATGTAACCGCTCAATGACAATAGTCAATCATGCTGTCAGGGTCAAGGAGCATGACGAAGCCTTGCGAGTCTGCAATGTCACACACCTTCAGCCTTCCACATTGGGTACTAATCACCGTAATGATGGTCGCAAGATCATTCGAGAACATCGACACGATAAGCATCGAAACGTTCTGGGGCATACGTATGGGCTTCCACTCGTTCTTCAAACAAAGTTCAGGATGGAACGCCAAGGTTTGAGTAAGTACTAGTTAGGGGATGCAACGGGCGTTCCGAGGTACAAGTAAGTATTGAGGCATACATACCACACACTACCAACACTAACGAACTCCGACGCGGTTTTGGTGTCTTTGGAATCGGAGGCAATGGTAGCGATATCGCGCAGGATGCGCAATGAAGTAAGTGGTCACATGGGATGCTCGAAGGTCGAAGATGGGACGACGAGGGACAGCTCAGAACCGTTGTAACAGGCAGATTGAAGGAAGGGCTTTGTCAGATCCATCCATCGTGAATGAAACGTGATACAAAAAAGCCCATTGTAGTCAGTCAGGCCTCAGTACTGTGTAATGGAGGGGCGTGGGTGTAGCACGAACAGCGGAACGAACCATTGGAGGTCGTGGGTAGCAAAAGCGGGGCAATGCACGAGAATCGCTGGAGAGTCGGGGCGGTTTCGCAGGCAACACCTCCCGCTTTGCCCGCAAATTCCCTGGCTCACGCCCAGTCCATCTGCCATCTGCCATCTGCCCTCTGCCCATTCGCTGTGCCCGCCCATCCCCCGACCCCAAACCCAAAGGCTCATCACCTGAAAGCCCCCCGTCGGTCTCAGCTCTTCCCTCAACATCAACCACAGCCCATCGACGGCATCAACACCGAAATCCACCCAGCGCTGACAGCGACGACAATCGCGACATCGAGGATATCGCAGTCGACGCTGACAATCTGTTCGTACCGACTTTTTGACGCCAAAATCGCCGCGGGCCAATTCATTTTGCGCATGCTGGCGGACTCGGGCATCTTTCGACCATCATAGCCGGTCGGTCGGGTCGCGCGACGACTTGCCACACTACCACGGGAGACGATTTTGCCACGAGTCGCTTTCACCACCATCAAGCGCATCAGGGAAACAGTCGAGGTCGATTATTGACCTCGCGACGTTTCCGGTGATTCCCTTTTGGGGTGCCTTCTTCGCTCACCTGGTCCACGGCCGATCTTGACTTTTCCCGAACTCCACCCCTGCGTCTATTGGCCTCACAACCTTCCTCTCCCCTCCCTCCTCTCAGGCTTTTCCCATCGGTCAGGTCGAGCTCGCTTCGCTTCACACCACCGGAAATAGCATCGGTCTTTCCATGGCAACAATGTCATTCAATCCTCAGACGCCTCAGAGTCCCTCGCAGTTCTCACCAAGCAGTGCGGACCCGCTATCTAGCATGAATAGCTCCATGACATCCATAACCACCTCCTTACCGACTCCAGCCCACAGCGTCAGCGGAACCACCCAACCAGACATAACCATGTCCGATGCCGACTCACCGAACAAGCGCAAACGTCTCACCGATGATATGGGCGATCAAGAGCAGAAGAAAGTCCACCTCGAGGATCCTCGCAGACTGGGTATTGAGAACCTTCACTTGGATGTTGGCGAAAAATACCTTCTTTGCAGAACTCGTAAGGCTCCCTCTACTCTAACAACGTGTACCTCGCACATGTCCTTACCCCCCCTCCCCCAAATTATGGTCACCCCATCGTGATGTTGCCATGACTGGTATGTGACAGAACTTTTTGGTTGACACTTTGCTTGTCTCTAGCCCATTTTGCGTCCTATCCTCGCGCATCGGGAGATCTCTTCGAGATGTTCGGCCTCGCTGGCATTGCCGCCGAGGTTGCACGGACAAAGCCGAATGGCGAGAAGAATGCGCTGAGGAAAACCTACAAGGGACATATCAAGTACCTTGGAGTCAACGGACATTTTGACGCAGTGAAGAAGGAACTGGACGACCCCCAAGGTTTCATGCACCTGATTGGCATGCCCCAGGACGTCTGGCACGTGAATGAAGTCGCCGGCAAGGAGATCGAGGGAAGCTTCTCAAAACAGGTCCAATCGAATCTGCTGGGTGCAATGACCATGGCCAAAGGTCCTATAGCGAAGTCAATCTGGGACGGTGCGGTCCTCGGTGACCTGGCACCTGGAAACATGGTAAAGAAACCGAAGGACGAGTCCTCGAAGCAGGGTGCTCCAGGTACTCCGGCAGCATCGACAGGGGGGTTGGCCAAGTCGGGGAGGCTACAGGTACCTCAGGCCGATCGTTCGCGACGGATTGGCAAGAAGCGAAGCTACCAGGATAGCAGCTTCGAGGGATATGGTGAAGGCTTCACGGACGACGACCCAGGTGCTGAGACTGGTTACTCTACGGGAGACGGTGATGACCGGGTGTCGAAGCAGAAGAGGAGAAAACAGGTGCATTCAGATCACCCGTCTTTCTCTAGTTCTCTTCGCTAACCCTTCCTCGCAGCATCCTGGAAGCACTTCGTCGTTGAGTGGAGCCGGACGTCATATTGGTGCGATAGGAGCGCGATGATACCCAGGAGCTGTGACGGACCCAAGACCTGTACGGCTCGAGGATAATGGCAGGAGCTTGTACTTTTGAGCACGATGGACGAGGATGACTCTCCTCCCCAGCAGCGTCGGTTGACTTTTGGGATCTTTGCATTTGATTGATGAGTCCAGCAAGGCGTTGGGGATTTTGATTTGGAACCAAAAGCAGAAAGCAGCAACTGCACCAGATGGTTTAAGTGGTTTCCTCCATACAGGGGAGATGGAGACCGAGACCAGACGACATCTCCGGGCTTGTTGTAAATATATCCATCAGTGACAGCAATAAAAAGAATCATAGCCCATCAGATGATCCAAGTGAGGTTTGGGTCCAGTCCTATCAACAAATCCTAGGTCCGAACGGGTTGCCGGAGTGTGCATGAACCGTCAAGCTCGGTAATCATCGCCGTGATCTGGGTTCTGCGACTACAAGAATTTCTTATGTCAAACTTCTGAGCATAAAGCCATAGTTCTTCCAGCTGAGTACTTGAAAGGAAGTGAATAGTAGCACTTTCCTATGGCATATCATTGGCGAGGAGAGAGCTGGTAGTAAAGAGCCTGAATTCGGTCCGCCCACACACCCCGCTGTTAGCTGCGCCCAATTGCCTACGTCGGCTCTGAGATGGAGGAACCAGGAGCGGGTTTATCTCGACGCTCATTACGTCCAGACTTCTCCTACGAAATGCAGAGTCCCGGTTTCGAACCCGTGCCACCCCGTTGAATTTCTCCATGGGTCGTTGAGATCATATCTGCAGTTATCCAGGCGGACACTCGCCGTTGAATCACCGCAGCTTATCATGACCTGACGTCAACCTCCGGGCTTCCAACAACCCCACTACCTGAGAACGTATCGTTTTCCAACGTCTGTACCCGCGATCCATCAACCAAAGCTGCTACCATGGGCGAGGCTATGAAGGGTCTTCCTGCTTTGGATATTGCGGGAAGAGTTGGTGGTCGCCAGAGTCCACCTGGGTATAGTGAGTTCTACTCGCAGGACCCAAGGAACTCATCCACCCAGTCGTTGGTACCTTCACTACCAGAGTACCAAGAGACGGTCCGGCGCACTCTCCTGATTGTCTACTTACATGGCTTCATGGGAAATGATACTTCTTTTCAATCGTTCCCAGCCCATGTGCATAAATTCCTCAAATTACAACTCACAGAATCCCATGTCATCCATTCCAAGATATACCCCAAGTACAAAACTTACAAGGCTATCGAAGTCGCTCGGGACAACTTCAGTAAATGGCTCGCGCCGCATGAGTCAGCCACGAC